GCCTCCTGAGTGCTGGGATTAAAGGCATGTGCCACCATGCCCGGCTTGTTTTTTTTAATTTTTAAAATATATCTTCTTTCTTTTCGAGGAGAGAGTAGACATACATGTGGAGGTCAGAGGACAACTTTCTTTTCGAGGAGAGAGTAGACATACATGTGGAGGTCAGAGGACAACTTTTGGGAGTCAGTTTTCTCCTTCCACCTTGTGCGTCCTGGGCATTGAACTCAGGTTGTCAGGCTTGGCAGCAGGTGCCTTTACCTGCTGAGCTTTTCTCTTCCTCTTGTCTGGGTATCTGACCCAGGGCCTCGCAGGACCTCCATGTTGAGCTCTAGCCCCTGCTTCCTTCAGTTCTATTTTTGTTTTTGGGGTGTGTGTGAGTGAGAGAGAGAGAGAGAGGTCAGAGGACAACTTTTGGGAGTCAGTTTTCTCCTTCCACCTTGTGTGTCCTGGGCATTGAACTCAGGTTGTCAGGCTTGGCAGCAGGTGCCTTTACCTGCTGAGCTTTTCTCTTCCTCTTGTCTGGGTATCTGACCCAGGGCCTCGCAGGACCTCCATGTTGAGCTCTAGCCCCTGCTTCCTTCAGTTCTATTTTTGTTTTTGGGGTGTGTGTGAGTGAGAGAGAGAGAGAGAGAGAGAGAGAGAGAGAGAGAGAGAGAGAGAGACATGCATGCAATATATTTTGGTCATATTCACCCCCACTCTTCCTAACTCCTCCCTGGTCTCTCCCCAGTCCCTCCCAACTTTGTGTCCTTTTTTAATAGCCCATCCCTTCAGTTTCAATAAGCTTTATACTCACACGTGTTTACATTTTTCTACTTGGCATGTACTGTTTATGCAGTAAAATGTCAGTGATTAGACTAGGAAAGTGAAGATGTCTTTTTAGGTTGCAGCATTGGTATAGGTGAGTTGGGATGCTGCTGCTGGTAATGGTTTTTTTTTTTCTTTCCCCCACAAGTGAGCACTTTTCTGATGAGTACATGTTTTGTTTACATGGCTTGGCATTTGGGCTGTTATATGCTGAGCTTATAGAATGCTTCTCATTTTAGGTCCGAACATTTGGCTAGAATATGGCCAGTACTCAGTTGGTGGGATTGGTCAGAAAGGTGGTCTTGAGAAAGTTCGCTCTGTGTTTGAAAGGGCTCTGTCGTCTGTTGGTTTACACATGACCAAAGGCCTAGCCATCTGGGAGGCATACAGAGAGTTCGAAAGTGCCATCGTGGAAGCTGCTCGGGTGAGTGTCCAAGTCTCTGTGACCCAGGCTTGTGGGAAATGCTATTTTGAAACAAATGTCCAAAAAAATCTTACAGTTAACATATCCACCTTTGTCTGTCTGTTAAGGGATGGACAGTAAAATAAAGTACTGTCTTTGTGGAATAGTAAGAGTGATATCTTTGACTTATTAGATTATTATGATATTTAAATACTGTTGCTTTAGTCCTATGATTCCAGGTAAATGTGTATGAACAGCCATGTAACTAGACTCATATAGCTCTACGTAGTCACATTTTTACATATCTGCATATGTGTATTTGGTACATGTGTGTCTTTATACCATGCTCAGTTGTGCCTTTGGGGAAAGTGCAGTCTGATGTACAGGCTCAGCTGCTCCTTGGATGCAGCCCTGTTCCAAAGTCTTCGGTGGCATCGTCTGCTGACACTGAGTGAAGCCAGTACCTCTGTGTGCTCTCGGTGGCCCTCAGTGTCTGCTCCGACTGCCCCAAGCAGCCTGGTCTCAAACTCATAATCCTGCTGCCTCTCCCTCCTGAGTGCTGGGCTCACAGATGTGCACCAGCACGCCTGGCTCCTCCACACGTTTTTTGCATTTTGTTGTCTCTCACTGTGCTGTTGTTTCGCTGAGTCCACTGGTACTGCTGCCTTCCAGACCCTTTCCCAGGCCTCTTGTGTGACAGCAACAGGGCCTCTGTGCTGTGATCGTTAAAGTCCTTTGCTTTCGTGATACTTAGTTTTTGTACCTCATAGTCATTTGGATCCCCTTTAAAATATTTTTATTTAAAATTTTTATTAGATTAAAAAATTTTTATTTTGTATTTTGTGTGTGTGTGTTCTTGACACAGCAAGTGTGTGGAGTTAAGAGGACAACTCATTGGAGTCAATTTTCTTTTTCCACCATGTGGGACCCAGGGAGTGAACTCAGATTGTTGGGCTTGGTGGCAGGTGCTGAGCCATCTGAGCCTGCTGAGCCATCTCACTGGTCCCAGGATTCCTTTATGACATTCCTTTTTCTCTCCCCGTCATAAGCCCTTAGAGGCAGCATTTGGGATGATACCTCATGTGTAAGAAGTCATAGGTTTTTTTTTAAAGATCGAATTGACAATTTGTTGAGATGTCTTTTTGAAGTAGAAAGACCCAAAGTTTGTCGTTTTTCACTAATTTGCTTCTTTAGCCCATGGCTGACTTCCTTTCCCCTTCTGACTGGGAACAAACCTTTGCTTCACAGCTTGAGAAAGTCCACAACCTCTTCCGACGACAGCTGGCCATCCCCCTCTATGGTAAGAAAAATGACTTGGTAGCCAACCCTTTGTGGTTTGGTGGTGCTCCTGCGCATGCCCCTTCCCAGCATTCTTTAAGGCAGGTGGGGCTGGTGTGCTCATTCTTATTGGACAGCATCTCTGGACAAGGTCTTTAGGAAAAACCTGTCTTGAATTGTAAATGCAGAGAGGGTTGTGAAGGGCAGAAGCAGGACAGGAACCCAGATGCCATCTCTTCCTACTTGAAAACAGTTGGAGCAGGGAGATACAGTCCATCCAAGGCGCAGGGAAATGGATGTGTATTTTCTGGGACACTAGAGACCAACAGTTACTTTTCAGCAATGGTCTCTTCCATATCAGTGGGGATTTTCCATGGGTGCCTGGCACTCTGGGGTGACTGGGTCCAGAAGTTGATTTTAGGTATTTGTGTCTTGATTTCCTGGGTTTTGGTTAAGAGTCTCTCTCTGGGTGGCTATATTTTGGCAAGGCTGTGAGCAGTGGGCCTAGTAGGCCCAGGAGGACTTTTCCGCGCGCGCGTGCGCGCGCATGTGTGTGTGTGTGTGTGTGTGTGTGTGTGTGTGTGTCTGTGTCTGTCTGTGTGTCTGTGTGTCTGTGTGTATGTGTGTATGTGTGTGTGTCTGTGTCTGTCTGTGTGTGTGTGTGTGTCTGTGTGTGTGTGTGTGTGTGTCTGTGTCTGTGTATGTGTGTATGTGTGTGTGTCTGTGTCTGTCTGTGTGTGTGTGTGTCTGTGTGTGTGTGTCTGTGTGTGTGTGTGTGATAGACACTGCCCTTGTCTGTTCCCTTAGTCCATTGTGTGCTGTCTACCCTCAGGGCAAGCTGCTTGAGCCCAACTTGAGTTAACTATTTGGATGCAGATAACATGCTAGGAAGTGACTGTCTAATTGAATTGTTGACTGTCAGCCAGAAAAGGCCAGAACTGACCTGGTTTGTAGATTCCTTTTCACATAGCAATGTGAGGCAGCCAGGCTGCTCTGCTGTTAGCTGTGGAAAAGTTAACTTACCCTCAGCTTACCCTCAGCTTCAGTGCCTTCACCTGACAGTGAGGATTATAGTAGAACCCACCTTTTAGTGGTAGGAGAACTGATGAGGTAGCCATTGGGAAGCATAGGATGTTGCTGTGGAGCACTAGGCACGTGTTCATGTCTTGTCCATAGTCTCCTTGACTGACTAGCCGGTGGTATTGTCTGCTCTGTTGCTTTGAGATAGATTCTGAATTCAAGTCTGGGCCTCGCAGAACTCAGAATCTGCTAAGAGCTGTTATGGCCACAGGTGTGGGAGGCGGGGTGGCACTTGAGTCTCATAGTGTTTTCTATGTTCGAGTTAATAAAACCCAATGACAAGACTCATGGATTGGGTCCATCTTTAAATAGATATGGAGGCCACATTTGCAGAATATGAAGAATGGTCAGAAGACCCCATACCAGAGTCAGTGCTTCAGAGCTATCACAAAGCATGCCAGCAGCTGGAGAAGTACAAGCCCTATGAGGAGGCTCTGGTAAGTGCTGCTGCTCCCTCTCCCCGCAGATACTGCTTTGATGCCACTCGAAAGTTGAACCGTGTCTTTCAAGTTTGTCTTACTGGGAAATATAGAGTATATAAATGTATATGAACAGTTTCCATCCTAATAATAAAGTGAACATCCGTGTACCCACCACCTAGGTTAAGAATAGAACATTGCCAGTACCCTAGAAGCCTCCTATGTGCCCCTCTCCGATTGTCTCCTCCTCCCTCTCCCAAGAGGTAATCACTCTCCTGACTTTTGTGATGATTGTTCCCTTGATTTTCTTTAGAGTTTTACAACCTCTGAATGTATTCTCAATATAGTGCTGAATTTTGCTCGATTCATCTTTAATAGACTCCTTCTGTGTTTCTTCTTTCATCTCTCATGCTTGTGGGCCTGACTCATGGTGCTAAGTACAGTACAGCGCCTGTGTTTTCACTGCTGTCATGGGCTGGGTCTTAGGTCTGTCTCCATTGTTTTGCTAGGAGGTGCTGTGTTCTGCACATTCTTGCATACATCTCCTGATACACATGGAAGCGTGCATGCGAACAAACTCGCTGAATTGCAGTCTCATGCTGAGGTGTGTTCGAGTGTTCCAGGTTGCCAGGGCACCCCAGCCAGCAGTGACAGGGTCTTGGAGCTGTGCCAGTCTTGTCTGTTGACTTTCTTAAGTCAGTGTATTAAGTCTGGGTTGTAGTTTAATTTGCATTTTTCCTGGTTACTAATGATATTGAACATCTTTCATGCACATTGGCCAATCAGATTGTGTGTGTGTGTGTGTGTGTGTGTGTGTGTGTGTGTGAGAGAGAGAGAGAGAGAGAGAGAGAGAGAGAGAGGACCTTTATTTGTCTTTTTGCTGCTTGCTTGGGAGCTCTGGGTCTTAACCCTTACTTTTGACTTACCTTTTCACTTTTCTAAATGACATCGTTTTTGTTAGTAGTGTTTTCTTTTTAAAGTTTTCTATTTTTTATTTCTTGAACTGGTTTTTGTGTATGATCTGAACCTGAATGGAGAACCAGTTTGTGGGTCTGATTCTGATGTTCTGTCCTCTTTGCTGGTGTGCAGGGCCACAGAGTGTCTGTCCACTAGTGTGCTGCTCTGCTGATCCTGTGTTGTAATGATAGTTTTCTTCATGGGTTGGATGGATCCTGTTCAACTGGCCCCTCTTTTAGAGTGTCTTGGCTTCTCTAGCTGTTGGTGTTTCCATCAGACTTAGAATCAGCTTTAAAATTCTGTTGAAATTTTTTTTTTTATTGACATTGCATTAGATCTGTGGATCAATTTGAGGAAAAATTCATGTCTTCTAATCTAAGAACATTGTATAGGTCTCTGCTGTTTGCGTCTTGCCTGTCTGTAAGACTTCTTGATAATAATTGATAATAATTTTATGAATTTATCCACTGTCTAGAAAGCATATTTTAGGTGTAAAGTGTGTTTTCTTTTTCTTTCTTTCTTTCTTTTTTTTTTTTTTGAGATAAGGTCTTGTAGCTCCAGCTGGCCTGGAACTTACTATGTAGACCAGGCTGGCTTCAATCTCATAGAGATCTGCCTGCCTCTGCCTCCTGAGTGCTTGGATTAAAGGCGTACGCCACTATCCACAGCTAGATGTAAAGTATTAAGTACTTGTTAGTTGTATCTTTGTCAAGATTTTCATTTTCTAGTTCTTGATATATAAGAATGCAGTTGCTATTTCATATTTTTTTTTAGTCTGCCAGGCTTACTAAAGTTTTCTTTCTAATAAGCATTACAGTCTTTGGGTGTTTTTGTTTACAATGTTATTTGTAGTTGCCATTTACCACACACCTTAGACTTGTGGCCTCATTTTCTTGAGTTATTTTGTCTTTTGGTTTGGTCTATCAAGACATTAGACAGTCATAGTTCGTCTAAATTTACTGTATATGCATTCTGTTTTCTTTGCTTTCCTTTTTGGATCTTAGGACTTTCATCTGAAATCGCATTGCCATGGCTGGAAGTTAATCGTGCACAGTCTTGGCACTTGGGGTTTCTTGGGAGCAGATTTTCTCCAGCATTGTCTGAAAAGGTCTTGTGTTTGCTTCCCTTTCTGATAGCTGTTTTCTCAGGCTGTAGAATTGTGTTCTTGCAACTGAACACATCTGTCTCTGTTTTCTCTTTTCATTAGGAGCTCACAATCTTGCTTCGACAGCAATCATTATTGTTGTCTGGTGGATTTTAAGATTCCTATTGGTTTGGTTTGATGTCCTGCGGTTTCATTACCTTGGGTTTAGGACTGGATATCTTATTTATCTTCTTTGAGGTTGTTTGGGCATCTTGATTCTGTTTTCAGTGTCTTCTTTCTCTTACCAAGTAAGAGGCCAGACTTTGAGGGTTAGCTGCATCAGTTTTGAACCTCAGTTCTACAACTTACTAACTCTCTGACTCTGGGTGTTTAACTTCCTTGTGCCTTAGTTTCCCTGAATGTAAGATGGGGCTAGAATGAGACCAGCCTCTCAGAAATGCTTTGAAGTTCAGATCATTAATATACGTTAAAGTGAACAAAAGCTTATCTGGGCTCTCTGCCCTTTAGATCTTTTGTCCTCTGTATTTACCATCTCTTCCAGTTGATGATTTTAGGTTGTTACATCTAACCGAGCTGTTGTAGTTGTTCTTGTGGTAGTGCCTATCGAATTCATCATTATGGGAAACCGAGGCTCTGAAACTTGTCCCTATACGCAGAGCCTTTGCACCCTTTTCTCTTTCAGCTGTGTGTGCACTTGTGTTTCACAAAGCCTAATTAGCCAAGTCCTCAACTTGTCCCATGCTGTTGTGGCTATCAGCAGAGTGTAGATGAAGAGAAAACAAGTTGAAAAAGAGGATTCTGTCTAAAGAGAATCGCGATTATGTATCTTTGGTTGGTATGCACTCAGCCTTGCCTCCTCTCTCTTCGGCTGCACCTGTGTTCTTGTAGCATCTGGCATTTTGAACGAGTGATCTGAAGTACTGAGCAATGCTAGTTTGGAAAGATAGAATGATGGTCAGTGGTGACTGGCAGAGGTGTCGCTCTTTGATTCGATTCTCTGGTCCAGGAGTACATTTAGAGACCGGTTTAGAGCCTTTGTGACTCTTGGCATGAGGAGGCACTTGGGACCAGGTGGAAGGACGCTCACTGTGTTCACCAAGTTATAGATCCTGTGTGAGGAGTTCTGAGAAGTATTTGCTGATCCTGTTCTTGGTTTAGCTGGGGTTTTTTTTTTTTTGGTCTTTTTGACGCAGAGTCTCCCTGAATCCCCAGCTGGCCTGGACTCCCACTGGAGACCCAGCTGATCTCGAGCTCACAGAAGTCCACTGGCTTCTGTCTCTGCCTCCTGGGTGGTGAGATTAAAGGCATGCACCATCGTGCCTGGCTTGATTTAGCTATTCTTGCAACATTGATTTATTTGAAGATGTTTTTGTGCTTTCTCAGAATATCAAATAACTATAAATTTCACTTGAGTGCAATTTTCCTATGCTCTAGTTGCAAGCAGAAGCCCCGAGGCTGGTGGAATATCAAGCATACATCGATTTTGAGATGAAAATCGGTGATCCTGCTCGCATTCAGTTGATCTTCGAGCGTGCCCTGGTTGAGAACTGCCTGGTCCCGGACTTATGGATCCGTTACAGTCAGTACCTAGTAAGATAACTCTCCCATTTTATTTTGTTTTTTTTTCAAGGTGAAATCTTCTTGAAAGGACATGGATAGGTGCAACAGGAGCTAGTTAGGTGCTGCCCTTCTCTGTTTTTTCTCCTTGGCGTCCTTCCCCCCATTTTCTCCTTTTTGCCACTTAGAAATTTATTCTCACATCTGATGATATTTTAAACTGATTTGCGTATGGTCTTATTACTGAAGACTTCATAAGAGTGTTTTATATGCCTTTTTTATTATGGGGAAAATGTGATCGTGAAATAGATTGGTAATACAAAGCCTTCCCTGCCACCTTGTCTGCCTTTGCAGTGGTTAGCAAGCTCTAGTCTGGCTTCGTGGCTGTATTCTAACCTACTTTTCCCATCTCTATTCTTTTTAAGCAAGTCCAGAAATCACTGGTGGTATTTTAATATGTGTGTATAGTAAAGATCCTTTTTGTGTGAAAGGATCCATACATTAGGGTTGTCTAGGGATGTTGTAGCCTGTGGGCTCCTCCTGCCTCACCCCTCTTCCTCTACCCTGCTGATTTCTTCCTTGAAGGAACCAGTCCATAAGAATTATTTATATTTTATTTTCATTTCTTTTGAGACAGGGTCTCACTATGTAGCCCAGGCTGGCCTCGATCTTATTTTCCTGCTCAGTCTCCCGTGGCTTGGGATTACAGGCTTCCACATTGTCCACACCCAGCTTCACAGGAGACATTTTAAAGGAAATTTCTTCCATCAGTTGGTTTTGCTGGGAGTGTCTCATTGGTGATTGTGTTAGTTACTTTTCTCGTCGATGTGACCAAATACCTGACAGGAAGCAACTCAAGGGAAGAGGCTTACGGTTTGAGGGGGTACAGTCTGTCATGGCGGGGAAGGCATGGTATTACGACTCTGGCTCTGGGAGTGTGTGGCATCTGCTTGTTAATGGTCTCAGGGAGCAAAGAGAGGGGTGGAGGATGGGAGCAGGATTGGGCTACAACCCTCAAGGCTCATCCCTCCACTGACCCACTTCTTGAGCTAGGACCCACCTCCCAAAAGTTAAAGCCCCCTCAAACAGTGACAGCAGCTGGTACCAAGTGTTCAAATGCAAGAGGTCAGGGGGAGGGCATTTTATATCCAAATTACAGCACTGAGGAAATCTTAACAATCATTTTATCTTCTCACCCTGGAATTCTTTATCATAGGATCGACAGCTGAAAGTAAAGGATTTGGTTTTATCTGTACACAGCCGTGCTGTTAGAAACTGCCCCTGGACAGTTGCTCTATGGAGTCGGTACCTTTTGGCCATGGAGAGACATGGAGTTGATCATCAAATGATTTCCGGTATGAATGTTTTTTGTGGGAAAATTTCTAATTATTTATTTATCTATTTATTTTTGAAATGATCTTCTGGTGTAACTTGCTACACAGCTGAGGCTTGCAGTGGACTTTGTACCCTCCTGCTTGTGTCCCATGTGCTGGAATCCAGGCACATGCCACCATTCCCCAACTTGAAAACTTGTCTCATGAGAAGCCCAAGTGGGATGTGACTTTAATCTGCATTTCCCAGGGCTGTCTCTGGGACAGTGTAGTAGTGACAGAAAGGGCTCTCACTGGCTTATACACTGCCTGCATGCTTGGCTTCTTAAGAGTTATTAACATCTGATACTCACTGTGAATTTTTAAAAAAAATATTTATTTTTATTACTTTATGAGTGTATTGCCAGCATATGTATAAGTGCACCCACAGAGGTCAGAAGAGGGTGTCGGATCCCTTGGAGCTAGAGTTAGGATGCTTGTTAATTGCCATGTGGGTGCTGGGAATTGAACCTGGGTCCCCTGCAAGAGTGGTCAGGGCTCTTAACCACTGAACCATCTCTCCAGCCCCCATGGTGAGCTACTTAGAAGTCACTCTTCAAAATATGCCTGACCTGGGATTCTATGGCACATCATTTTATGGAATGAGTCCTTTCTGTAGGACCTTCTCTTTTAAATATTTTTCTTTTGCTCATTTTAATATGTTGTATCTTGTAGTTTTTTTCTTTTATTTTGTACTGGGGATAGAAACCTGTAGCCTTATACATCTGTTATTTTTAAGTCAACGTTGTGTTTATAGTCAGAGTTTTGGTAACTTTGTTTTTGCATTGGCAGTTATTCCTCTTGCTTTCTCTACTACAGCAACCTTCGAAAATGCTCTGAGTGCCGGCTTCATCCAGGCCACAGATTATGTGGAGATTTGGCAGGCGTACTTAGATTACCTGAGGAGAAGGGTTGACTTCAAACAAGGTACTTAAGTACATGAGTTTCCTCAGAACTGGACTCCCCTTCCCCTCCCCCTCCTTCCCCTCTCCTCCCCTCTTTCTTCTTCCCTCTTTTCCTTCCTTGACATGGGTCAGCCCTAGATGTTGTTCCTCATGAGTTTTGTTTTCTGAGATAGGGTTTCTCATTGATTGACCTTGAGCTGATTAAGCTGAGGGCTGGCTGACTAGAACTCCCCCACCCCCAATCCACATGTGTCCACCTCTCTAGCACTGGGATTCCAAGTATGCATCAGCACCCTGGGTTTTTTCCATGGGTGCTGGAGATTGAACTTAGGTCCACTGCTTGGATGGCAAGCACTCTAGTGACTGGGTCATCTCCAGCCCCTGGACTTTCTCTTAACATGTTTTGGTGATATGTCCCTGTTCTACAAACATGTGATTTGGGGGTGTGGTAACTTTTTCCCTCAGAAACTATCAGTTTCTGATGTTAACAAGTCAAACTGGAGTAAAAGGAAGAGAGCAATGGTCCTTGTGTGTTATGCTGGGTCCTGCCAACCCCATAGCCGATTCTCTTGTTTCCTATGTCTGCCCCTTTCCTAAACTCCGTCAGTTTCTTTTCTGTGGTTTGATAAAGTACTCTGACAAAAACAAGTTAAGGGAGTAAAGGTTTTATTCAAATAGTTCATAGTTCAAGGCACAGTCCGTCATGGTGGGGACGTCATGGCAGCAGGAACTTGAAGCAGCTGGTCATACCATGTCCATGGTCGGAAGAATGTACGCTGCTCCTCAGTGCCCTGTTTCCATTTATACAATCCAGGTTCCCAGTCAGGGAATGGTGCCACCCACAATGGATGGGTCTTTCCAGCTCAGTTAATGTAGTTACAATCCCTCACAGGTGTGTCTGGAGGCCTATCTCCCAGGTGATTCTGTCAAGTTGACACTAACCATCACAAACCCCAGATCTTTTTTCACATAAGACTGCTGTGTTTTTGAGATTCTGAATTTCTGTAAGAGCCTTGTTCATGCTAAAGGACAGCCAAAAAATCCCTAACTTGTAGTTGTGCATGGAGGGTGCTGCTTCATGCAGCATTGTGCTGTTTGCCTGTCCCCTGCCGCGACATACTCAGCAGCCCTTGCTGTCACTGTTCTGTCCATCCATGTAGTTCTCCTCTCCTAATTCTTTTTTAATGTGCAAGGAGGCAAGACTGGTGATTTACTTCATTTTCTTCCACCTGACATGCAGTCCAAGCGGGCCTCCAGTGGTTTGGGTGTAAGATTACAAAAAGGTGGCTTGGTGGCTTCAGGAAGTTCCTTTTACCTTTTCCAATAGACTCTAGTAAGGAGCTGGAAGAGCTGCGGGCCATGTTCACACGTGCTCTGGAGTATTTGCAGCAGGAGGTTGAAGAGCGTAAGTCTGGCCCAGCCTGCTGTCCACCTGTTTGGGTTGCCTGTACTTGCTTGAAGAACCTTTTCTTTTCAGCCAAGGGATACTTACCTCAGAACTCTAATTGTCTCAATTCCATTCTGGAAGGTTTCAGTGAGAGTGGAGATCCAAGCTGCATGATCATGCAGAACTGGGCTAGGATCGAGGTAAGCATCTTGCCAGGTCTCAGCCTTACCTGCCTTTGGTTCAGTAATGCTTTATACAGCATTAATTAAAATTGGGCAGAATCTCTGGATGTGGTCTGGGCTCTGCAGGGCCCCGTATTGTTGACTAGCTTGGTCAGCTTGCTCTTCTCTTGGGGAGAAGTCCCCAAGCCAGTGGTGTAGGAGCATATGTCCAGTGCTGGCTGTTGACCCGCTCATCTCTACAGTCCCTCCGCCACTGCTGCTTGAGGGTGTGTGCTGCTTACCAGCAGCCTGGCAGGTGCTATGGAACTGCTTGGTCTCTGCCTACTTAAAGCTTTAATCTTGTCCAGGAGGTGGATGATCTGACCAGTAGAGGAGGTAGTTGAAAATTGCTGTTGAGCCAGGGACATCAAGCTGAGTTGAGTTGTGGAACCTGCCCTTTATCAACTGATAAAATTATAAAATTCTGTGTTTAATGAGAGGGAATCAGACCAATGAAACAAACATTTGCCAGGTAATTTCTGTATGGGATATTTGTCGAAATTTTAAGGGTGAGGAAACAGGCTCAGAACTCAGGTAATATTACTTCTCCAAGTCATATAATGTTTTGGTGGCAGAGCTAGCATTTAGTATTAGCTCAGTGTTTCTTCTTATGTATTTCTCTCAAAGTAAGCAGTTTATTTAAGTTTGATTAAAAAAATAAAAACTAAATGGCTGTGCAATACTGTTGTGCTGAGGGCTTCTGCTCCATGTTCACAAGAGGTACAGGCACACAGGTTTTGTTTTATTTTGGAATCAGGGCCTCACCCATGCTAGGCAAGCTCTACCACTAAGCTGCATCCCATAAGCAGCAGACCTTTTGAGACTCACCACTATAGAAAGGCAGAGAGGCTTGGCCTTGGCCTGTTAGTACCAGAGGGAGGCCTGGAGCCATCACTGATTTCTGTGTCATGGTCGTGGTGTGAGGTGGAATGTTTTAGGCATATCTGTGTGGAGTAAGTTTGTACTGTTTGAGGCCTGTCCTGATGGAGCTTGCTAATGTGTTTAGGCTCGACTATGTAATAATATGCAGAAAGCTCGAGAACTCTGGGACAGCATCATGACCAAAGGAAATGCCAAGTACGCCAACATGTGGCTGGAGTATTACAACCTGGAAAGGTAACCTGCAGGGGAAGGGCTTCATGATGTTAGTTCATGATGTGGGTATATTTGTTGAGAGACTTTGATGCTTACGTGTTTTTGCCAGCATGTATGTAAGTGCACCATGTGTGTTCAGTTCCTATGGAGGCCAGAAGAGGGTATTGGATACACTAGAACTGGAGTTACAGACAGTTGTTAGCTGCCATTTGGGTGCTGAGAATTGAACTGGATCCTCTACAAGAGAAGCCAGTGCTCTTAACTGCTGGGCCATCTCTCCAGCCTCTAATTTTTTTTTTTTTTTTTCTTAAATCAGGCAAGCTTTTTTTTTTTTTTGGTCTTTTTGAGACAGGGTCTCCCTGCAGCCCCCAGCTGGCCTGGAACTTGCTGTGTGGACCCGGCTGGCCTTGAACTCACAGAGATCTGCCTGCCTCTGCCTCCCGAGCACTGGGATTAAAGGCTTGCGTCACCGTGCCTGGGTTAAATCAGGCAAACTTTAGCTGATAACTATTGATGGGACTGGGGGTTTTTGTTTTTGTTTTTTTAGATTTATTTATTTATTTTTAAATTATTTTTATTTATTATTTTTATTGTATGTGTGTGCATGTATTGCCTGTATGTAGGTAAGTGCACCCGTGTCGTGCAGTGCCTGTGGAGGACAGAAGAGGCTGTTGGATCCCCTGGGACTGGAGTTACAGGCAGTTGTTAGCTGCCATGTGGGTGCTGGGATTCGAACGCTGGTCTTCTGCAGGAACAACCAGTGTTCTTAACCACTGAGCCCTCTCTCCAGCCCCTTAAGATTTATTTTTAATTATGTGTATGTGTGTCTGGGTGTGTACATGTGAGTGCAGATTCCTGAGGAGGCCAGAGGTGTCTGATTCCTTGGAGCTAGAATTATAGCAGTTTTGAATGGTGCTGGGAACTGAACTGGAGTCCTCCACAAGAGAAGTATATGTTCCTAACCACTGAGCCATCTCTCCAGCACCTTAATATTAAAAGAAAAAAAAAGATGTAATTATAGTGTGCATGTTTTAAACCTTTAAAATGATTTGAATTAAATAAAGCATGCCTAGTAATATTTTATGAAGCAAGGAAGATTAAAAAAAAAAATGTGGCCAGCCTGACTTCTGCCTGCCTGCCTTCCTTCCTTCCTTCCTTCCTTCCTTCCTTCCTTCCTTCCTTCCTT